CTCAGAGCCTGGAGCCTGCTTCAGATTCTGTGTCTCCCTCTCTCTCTGCCCCTCCCCGGCTCACGGTCTGTCTCTCTCTGTGTCTCAAAGATGAATAAACGTTAAAAGAAAAATTAAAAAAAAAAAAAAAAAAAGAATGGAGAAATCAGAAGGCTTGTCCATGGCTGGCAGGAATGTAAAATGATGCGGCCATCTTGGAAAACATTCTGGCAGTTCCTCAGAAAGTTCAACATGGTTACCATATGACCTAGCAGTTCTACTCCTAGAAGTGAAAACATGTCCGTGCAAAAAGTCGTACATCAATGTTCACAGCAGCATTATTCGTGATAGCCCAAATGTAGTAACAACCCAAATGTCCATCAGCTGCTGAATGGATGAACATATGTGGTGTATCCACACAATGGAAGATTATTCAGCCATAGAAAGGAATGAGGTCCTGTTACATGCCACAGCACAGATGAGCCTTTTGCATATTAAGTGGAAGAAGCCAAACTCAAAAGATCACGTAGCATATGATTACATTTATGTGAAACGTCCAAACTAGGCAAATCCCAAAGCAAAGAGTAGATTTGTGGTTGTCAGAGGATAGAAGGGGGAGAAATTGGAACTACGAATGGGTGTGGCTTTGGGGTTTTTTGTTTTTTGGTTTTTTTTTTTTTGGAGGGATGAAACTGTTCTGGAATTAGATAATGGTGATGGTTTCCCAACAGCGAATACTAAAACGTACTGTGTTTTATTATGTCAATTTTATCAATTTTTAAAATACTAAACCAAGATTCTGAAGCGCATCATGATGTGTGGACTGACATATATAACACTTTATGTTCCGTAGTCTGCTTTCTTGTTTGGGAATTGTTAGTAACGTGCAGACTGGGTCAAGATTGTGGTATTTTGGGCAACTGGATACTTCAGCCGTTAAGCGTCCGACTCTTGATTTCGGCACAGGTCATGATCTCATGGTTTGTGAGATCGAGCCCCACGTCGGGCTCTGCGCTGACAGCGTGGAGCCTGCTTGGGATTCTCTCTCTCTCCCTCTCTCTGTCCCTCCCCCTCCCCCAAAATAAGTAAGTGAACTTTAAAAGTTTTTTCTTTCATTAAAAAAAAAAGTTTGTGGGATCCCTTGAAGAATTGTTAGTAATATCCATATCAGATTATGACAGGTGACTGTATTATTTCTCGGTCAGAGCTCTGAAAGCGTCGCAAAGGATACTTACCATGCTGTCCTCGACTGCAATATATCTGTTTACAATAGATTGGGAATTTAAGAGAGAAAATAGTGGGTCTATTTTCATCACTCTATGTGTCTAAGACAGTGCTTGCAATATCGCAAGTGCTGAGTAAAGGTTTCACTTGCAGGGGGACTTAACGGGACAGTCTTGTCCCCAGGGGACGTGTGGCAATGTGTGGAGACACTTTCGCCTGCCACACCTGGAGAGGTGGGTGTGTAACCCACACGCTTCTGGCGTGTGTAGGTAGAGGCCAGGGATGTTGCACAGGACAGCCTCCAGCTGCAAAGATGTATCTGGCCCAAAGCGTCCGCCACGTAGAGGTTGGTCGAGCGAATGACTTACAAATCCATCAAATTAACTTCAGCAGAAGATGAAAGTCCCCTTGAAGAAAAATTAAACACTAAAAGCATCCTGGCGTTCGGTGTTCTCGGTTAACGAAATGTCCCAGACCGTATCTTTGTGGCTCTTGACGGAAGAACCAGGCTGGTGGGAGAGGCAGACCACAAGGGGAAACCGCAAGGCTGTGTAACTTCCCGACCTTGACTAAGGTGTTATTGCATAGAATTCAGTCGTGCAGCAGAAAGCAGGTGGTAACGCGTGTGTTCCTTGTCTGTTAAAGAGCCCGGGAAACGTTTTACGTTGTATTTAACACGCGGGAGGAAACCATCCCAGCCCTCCACAGAATACACAGCTCCAGTCTTTTCTTTCAGAAGCTGGTAGCAACCCTGTCCGACACTAGGTCAGCGGGCAAGTAAATGTGGGCGAGCTTCACTCGTGGCCCAGAATGCTGAGGGGCGCTTGATGGCCGGGCTCGCTCTTTCCGGTCTCCGGATCAGGGGTCGGCAAGTTCCAGCCCGCGGGCCAGCAGTGGTTTGCATCTTTTTAAGTGGTTAAAGCTAAACCAAAGGAAGAGTACTATTCCATGGCGTGCAAAAAGTGTATTAAATTCAAGTCTTGGTGTCCATAAAGAATTCTTGAACCCAGTTATGCGCACCTGTGTGCTATTGCCTACTGTCGTCCGTCTGGCTGCTTTTGTGCCTGTTCAGAGACCATGTGACCGTATTTATGACAAAGCCTAGGATATTTGCCATCTGACCCTTTATGAGAAACATTTGCTACTCCCTGCTCCACAGTTAAGGAGTGTAGCAAATGGTGTTTCTGGGAGGCGGTCTGGACCGAGAACCCGCCCCGGGCTGGATTCCCCGACACCCGGCTCTGCTGGGCACATGACTGTCCCCCCTCCCCCCCACCCCGGGCTGGAGTGTCCTCATGTGTGACATGAGAGGGCTTTGCCAAAGGGTCTCTGGAGCCCTTCCAGTTCTTAACTGCCTGTGGCGTGTGGAGATTCCAGTTTGTCTAGTGGTTCCCAGGTGGCCAGTGGGGTGAATGCAGCACTCTTGTCTGGGACAAAGCGGTGGGGCCGGGGAGTCACATTACCGCCCTCGGCAGCGAAACAGACACAGACCTGGATCGCCACTGTGTCTATGCGGAATTGGAGCGGAAAGTTGGCACCACGGAGTGTCCGGAGACCAACTTTGGGCCCTTCTCACGCGCCCTCGTTTTATAGATTATGTCACTCAATTCTTTTAACCCTGAAGAAGAAAGAAATGGACGGCGCTTATGATCGGGGAAGGCTGGTAAGGGATGGTGGCAGAGGCTGGCAACCTGAAATTGACGTTTTCAGAATCTAATTTAGCCTTTAGGGCGGGTTTATTGAAACTCACCAGGTACTTGTCATCTTGTCATCTCTCCTGCTCATTGACTAGCAGGAAAGGGTCTCTGTTGCCCTTTCTGTTTTCTCAGTACTAACGGGTGGCTCTTGACCCACAGTGCAAAGGATCGTGGGCTGTCGACGTCCACACCGCAGCCCGGGCTCTGTCGCTACGGAACTAAGCTGGCCTGCTGCTATGGCTGGAGAAGGAACAGCAGGGGAGGCTGTGAAGGTAATTTTATAAAAACTCAGACCACCCTGTGCTCGAGTATGAGGCCAGCGTCCTTAGGTTTTTACCTGTGACACTGTAAATTCTCGCCAGCTTGTCAGTGGGTTCCCCAGCAGAGGGACGAAAATATCTGTACCCAAGGTCCGGGTTCCTGTGAGATGTTTTCCCGTTCAAAATGTGGCTGCTACCTTCATTCTAGACAAGATTTGCTTTAGGAGAGGGGTCTTGCGAGTTACTTCTGTCGGTCTCAAACGGGCCAGTATACTTCCTTCTAATTATAATTGTTCCAATTGATTGCTAATGAAATCTACTTGTTAATTATGAATCATCCAACCAGTAGGCTCCAATTACACACCAGAAAGTAAGTCATTTACTTCATGGTTTGGTTACTCACATTTTTAAAGTCCATTATGCCTGTTTCTAGATATTTCAAGAGATAGGTGCGTATAGGTAAACACTTTAAGTATTTTTCTGATCCTTTTGTCTGGATTTCAATCTAAGGAACCGTAATTTGCTTTGGATACGGTTTCTCAGACCATGTGTGAGGAACTCCCAAGAGAGGCCTCTGATCATTTTCAGGAGGGCTAGGGAGGACGAGGCTTTGCATACTTTTATGTCACTTTCTTTTTTTTATAAAATTTTTTTTTTATGTTTGTTTATTTTTGAGAGAGAGCATGAGTAGGGGGAGGGGCGGAGAGCGGGACACAGAATCCAAAGCTGGCTCCAGGCCCCAAGCTGTCAGCACAGAGCCCGACCCAGGTTCGGACCCACGAACCGCGAGATCATGACCTGAGCCAAAGTCGGACGCTCAACCGACTGAGCCACCCAGACGCCCCTCTTTGTTTTGTATGACTGTCTATGAGAACCCACAGTCACAGTGAAGAAGAATCCTATCCACATTCCTCCTAGCTGACTGTCTGACCGGGGGTACATTCCTTCAGGGCAGGAATCTGGTCTCATGGTCCCCATGTCCCTAGCAGGTGGCTATACCTGAACCCAAAGCCCTTAATCTTTTCAATAGGATAAACACACAACTGGATTATAAACAGTAAGGCGCAAAACTGTTAGCTTTTTTTGACAGTACTACCTTCTTTCTGTCTCTGCCCTAAACTCTTCCTCTCTAGCTGGTTAAGAAATAGCCGGATAGACCACAGGTGAAGACAGAACTTGATAATAACTGAGATCTATAAAACCCTGGAAGGCACTGATAATGCTCCTACCCGCTCATTATTATGCAACATCTCTCACCATCAGCCTCCTTGTGCCCAGATGATAAGAGTATAAAGATACCAGAAAAATAGTTGAGGTCGTTCTTGCCCACCTCGGTAAAGTTAGAACGTTCTCCTGGGGCTTTGTCAATTAAAAAAAAAAGAGGGTGGGGCCCCGATCAAGGACATTGTCCTGAGAACTCAGAATGCTGTCTGTGACCTTGGGCAAGGTGGGTAAGCTGGCTGAGGCTCTCCTTCCTCGATGTGGAGAGATTAAGCCCTGCTTCAGAGGACGAGGAGAGTAAGCATCGAAGGATATGCTCGTTCCCTGGCACACGTAGAAAATACCTCATAAATCACCCTTGATTCGGAAAGGACCAGTAACTCTCCTGTCCCCGAAAGCACCAGGTGATGCAGGAATGAAACGTTGCTGTATTCTTTTTCGAGACATGGCACATTTTTATTTGAAGCCAGTCAGGTGGAAAGGGGCAAAAACCACGTGGAGCGCATGCTTTGGAATCTCTCACAGTTGCACAAACCCCAGCACCTACTGCCATAAAACTGACACGTCTCTGGTGAATAAATGAGGGCGGTAAGGTCTGTTCTGTACCTAGATCAGAGCAGGTTGGCCGTGGCGCAGCCAGCCGGTCACGTTCTCGATGTTTTTGTGGACAATGTACTACCACAGGCAGGAGAGGCTTTAAAGCAAGATGTTAAAAGAGCACGTGCACAGGGTTCGAGCGAAATGCTCACTGTGCGTGTTTGGCAAGCCGGGGGGACCATCGCCCCCCTCCCCCTGCTGCCCAAGCCCAAGGTTCAGGTATTGCATTGCGATGATTTCTGTATCTGAAATCCGTGTTGTATCACGTCCAATTTGCATGGTCCTTCTTGACGGTAAAGTCATCTCCTTGAAGCACCAAATAACAGCGTGATTAGCCCCCGACTGCCAGACCTCTGATTCCCAAGCCAGAGTGTGGGCTGAATGGTAATGAGGCGAGAACACACGTCCTGAACAAGCCGAATCACACCCCAGCCTGGGAGTCACTTCCATCTGTCTGTTCCTTCCTCCAGAGGCCCTGACTCCACGCTGGCACTTTCTAGCTCTTGGCGGGATGGCTCAGCTCGACATCGTTACCCTTCAAATGTACGGCACTTAGCACGATGAGATACGGAGCTGAGAGCTGTCCGTGAACGCATTCTCACCAAGAATCTGGAGGAATCTAGGGAGGATGAACAAGAACTTTAGCTGGAGGACACTTAAACCTCAGGCCATTGTAGACATAAACCAAACTTCCCTGTGCTGGACCCTGGCTGTTCGAATCACAGATCCGAAGTCACTGTAAATGGAAAACATCTTGCTGAAGCTTTGACCTCAGAGCAGCGGGGATATTATTCACCATTTCTCTCATGTTCTATTTGGCCCTGGGCCTGGCTTTCCTCTCTGGCCCACATTGAAAATAACTTTCGAGGGAGCCATCAGAGGTATTCAAGGCTCAAAAAAAGTAACAGATTTCTTTTCCTAACATCTGAACTTAAGGCTGCCTCTCCAAGAACACATCCATAACAAAATAGGCGCTGGAAAGCAGAATTCTCTTTTGTCTCCAGAAGTGAAAGCAATTTGCCGGGAAGCATTTTTTCCTGACCTTCTCACCTGTGATTTGTTCAGAGCCATAAAAGGTTGCCCTGGTCAGAGTTCTGCACCTTTTATTTTACTTACGACTCAGAACTGTTTGCGTGTCTGACACGTTCACGACACCGCTAAGCGCAGCGGGAGGAACAATGATGAATGTTTAAGTCTGTGTTCTGAAGGCACTGGGATCAGATAGGAGATGCAAGTCAAGGATAGAAACCAAATATATGTCTAATTATTTAATAAGATGGTACCTGATCGGCTTCGTGGGAGAGGCCCGCCAGAGGTCTGTGGAATTCTCAAGTTCACACATGGCCAGAGAAACCCCTGAAGGCTTCTGGAAGCAGAGGTCATGCAAAGTAGTCTTTGAAGGATCAGGAGGATATTAACCATTGGAGGGTGAAAAAGGGGTGCCCGTGGGTGAGAAGAGGCCGAAAGGGTAGATTTATTATTTTAAAAAATATTTTAATGTTTTTATTCTTGAGAGAGAGAGAGAGAGAGCATGAACGGGGCAGGGGCAGAGCGAGAGGGGGACACAGAATCCAAAGCAGGCTCCGTTCTCTGAGCTGTCAGCACAGAGCCCGACGCGGGGCTCGAACTCACAAGCTGTGAGACCGTGACCTGAGCCGAAGTCGGACCCTCAACCGACTGAGCCACCCAGGCGCCCCACATTTATTAATTTTTAAATGTTTATTTATTTATTTTGAGAACAAGAGAGATTGCGAGCACGTGTGCACTAGCAGGGGAGGGGCGGAGAGAAAGAATCCTGAGCAGGCTTTGCACTGTCAGCACAGAGCCCGACACGGGATTCAAACTCATGAACCGCAAGATCATGACCTGGGCCGAAATCAGAGTGTCACTTAACTGACTCAGCCACCCAGGCGCCCCAGAAAAGGGTAGATTTAGAGAAGAGTAGGCAATCTAGTTTGACCACAGGGTTGCCTATGTCTAGGGAACAGAGTAGGCCAAGGGAATGAACGAAGGTGAAGCCAGGCCATGGTGATGGTACCTATACTGTATCCTAGAGGCAGTTCATAGTATCTGGTGACTTCTCCGCAAGGCCTGGCATGATCAGAGCTGTGCTTCTGGAATATCGGCTTAATGTCATATCTGACATCGGATTTCCGAGGAGCAGAGCCTGTAAGGGGGCTTCCTGGACAAACAGTCTGTTGAGAGGCGCTCTCTGGAGAGATCTGTAAGGGAGCCGGGAAGCAGGGGAAGAAGCCAGGCAAAGATGTGGTTTCGAGAGAAGTCTGCCTTCGGCTTGATCCCCGGGCAGCTCGAGTTTTAACCCCACCACCGAGTTTGTCCTGCCCCCAAAGCAGGGGCTAGGCTGTGAGACCCCATGCCAGTCAAGCACTTGGTCACAGGGCTGTGGCGGGGAGAAGCGGGAGACAGACGGGTGCAGGGTAATGTCCCAGACATCTGTGGGCAGCGTGGTTCCCTTTAGGTAGATAAAGACCTGTTCGAGGAATGACTTGGTGGAAAAGGAGGGATAGGATGTTGCAACGGATTGGTTTGGGGACAAGAGATAATAGCGATGACTGGCATTTTGAGTCCGGGTAACTGGGAGATAAATGTGGACGTTAACAAAGAATAGGGTCTGTGGTGGAGGGGGAAGAGGCTGGGGTCTTTGGGAACAGGCATGCTTAGAGGTAGACCTACCGGAGCCGGCAAATCAACAAGAGGGGAGGTGGGTAGCCTTCCTGGGCAATGGCCGAGTCAGCCTTCCAGGGCCCAGCTGCTTCCTGGGCTCCTACTAGATCCAGAAGCTGCTAAGGGCTCTCTACTCCTTACCTACCTCCTTTCTCATTCATTATTCCTTTGGCCTCTTCCTCTCTCTGGGTTTTTTCATTTTCCTTTTTTTCTGATCTACTTCGTCTCTCTGTCTCCTTCCTATGAGCCGGACTCAAACTTCCCACCGTCGTTGACTCTTTTTGCTTGCCCCCAACCCAGACAGACGCTCTAGCCTTGCTCTTTCTCCTGTCCCTTCTTTCATCAAACAGATATTAAGCGAGGGCCTCATTTGTGTCAGGCGTCTGGGTGCAAACATCAAAACAAAACAAAACAAAATAATGACACAGAAGAAGCATATCCTGCCTCACGCCATCATCACCATCACCATCCTTAGGCTGATCCTTTTGACTGATAACGTACAGCTTTCAAAATAGAGTTTGCTGGGTGGCTCAGTCGGTCGAGCGTCCGACTGTGGCTCAGGTCATGGTCTCGCGGCTCGTGAGTTCGAGCCCCGCGTCGGGCTCTGTGCTGATGGCTCAGAGCCTGGAGCCTGCTTCGCATTCTGTCTGTGTCTCTCTCTGCCCCTCTCCCACTTACACGCGCGTGCGCATGCACTGTCTCTCTCTCTCTCAAAATATAAATAAAACATTATAAAGAAATAGAGTTTGCTCATTCCAAAGAAAAACAGGAGAAACAATATGCAAGAGAAAAGAGAGGTGAGTGACAGAAAGGAGGAGGACCTTGACCTAGAATTACACTGGACTCTCTTCCAGGTCCCACATTATACTTCTTTTATTAAATGTTTTTGTGTTTAGATGCGAACCTATCTGGCTGTGGTCTGGGAGGTTTTGTTGATCTTGGAATGCCACTTGGAGGCCTGGCGGGGCTAAGCAAAGTGAGGATAAACTTGGAAAAGCTTGCGTTCATGGGGGTGCGGGACGGGGCGAGTGCTCTCGTTCACAGGCAGAGGGCTCCCCAGCATCCCGAAGGGGAAAACAGACCCGAGAGGGAGCAGCACATCATCCTCTCTACGGCCCCCCGGATTTCTGTGCCGTACAGAAGGCTGCTGAGTGTGACACACGTGCATTTCTCTGTGCAATCTACTCCTGCTCAAAACATCTTTCCTTTCCACAGCTTTGTGTGAACCCAGATGCAAGTTCGGGGAGTGCGTGGGACCAAACAAATGTAGATGCTTCCCGGGGTACACCGGAAAGACGTGCAGTCAAGGTCAGTACCACAAGCCAGGGTCCCAGTACCAACCTTTCCCCGGGGCTTTCAGAAGCAATGCAATCATTGCGGGGGGCTCTGTGATACAGGACAGCGCCCAGGATTTTGTAGACTTAACCCGAGTCTTAGAATGAAAAGGGTTTCAGGACTAGATTTTTCAATCCATCTCTTCTAGAAAAATGTAAAAGTCTTTCTGATCTTTTTGTTAAGATGCCAGACAAAAGGCCTTTTTTTTTTTTTTTTTTTTTGGCCTTTTTTGGCCTCTAGAATATTTTTTTTTCTAAACAATTTTTCTTTTCTGAAACAGTTTTCATTGTGGGGCACCTGGGTGGCTCAGTCAGTTGAGCATACGACTTCGGCTCAGGTGATGATCTCGTGATCTGTAAGTTCGAGCCCTGCGTCGGGCTCTGTGCTGACAGCTCAGAGCCTGGAGCCTACTTCAGGTTGTGTGTGTGTCTCTCTCTCTACCCCTCCCCTGCTCATGCTCTGTCTCTCTCTCTCTCTCTCTCTCGAAAATAAACGTTTAAAAAAATGGTTAAAAAAATAAATGAAATAAATACGTAAAACAATTTTCATTGTGTTTTTATGCTACCAAATGCATATTTTTATTGGAAAAAATAAAAGCAAAACAACCCAACGATGCAAAAGGATATAAATGAGAAAGTGGGTGTGGGGCGCCTGGGTGGCTCAATCCCTTGGGCATTGGACTTCGACTCAGGTCGTTCTCTTGCAGCTCTTCAAGCCCCACATCGTGAGCCCTCTCTCACTGCCTCTGTCTCCCTCTCTCACTGCCCCTCCCCCGTGCACACTCCCCTCTCACTCTCTCAAAAATTAAAATTAAAAAGACATTTTTTAAGTGGGAGTGCCGAACTGAGCACCTGTGATCTGTTTCTGTGATGGTGCAGACAGGGATGTTTCTCGTGGGCCGGTTTGCGTGTTAGTGCATACAGAGCTAGCTCGTGCTTTTTAAGGCTGTATCCTAGGCCCTGACGCGAATGCTTTTATCATTTGTGTAAAAAAGATTTTATTTAACTGCTCTCATTTACCTTGTCTCCAATTTCTCACCATTACAAGCGATACTAAATCGGATGTCAGTCTCTGCATATCCTTGTACCGTTGAGTATTTTTATAGGAAAAATGTCTGAAAATAGAATTGTCGGGGTGAATGACATGCACATTTTTTTAACTTTATGTATTTCGAGAGATGCAGAGAGCGCGCGAGAGGAGAAGAGACAGAATCCCAAGCAGGCCCTGCGCTGTCAACACAGAACCCAACGTGGGGCTCGAACTCACAAACCGCGAGCTCATGACCTGACCCAAAATCAAGAGTCAGACGCTTAACTAACTGAGCCACCGAGGTGCCCTGACATGCATATCTTTAATTATAATTAGCGTATTTAAAAAGATACTTTGTGACTTGTCATAAGCTATTTATCTGAGGATATTAAAGAGTATTTATAATAATGATAACAGTGGTTCTCAATTTGGGCAATCTTGTTCCCCAGAAAGAGTTGCCAGATAAAATAGAGATCTCAAGTTAGATTTAAATTTCAGATAAACAACAGATAATATTATAGTGTATGAACATTTTAAATACTGCACGAGACATAGGTATACTAAAAAAGTATTAGGGCGCCTGGGTGGCTCAGTCAGTTAAATGTCCGACTTTGGCTCACGTCATGATCTCAATGTTCATGAATTCGAGCCCTGCATCGGGCTCTGTGCTGATGGCTCAGAGCCCGGAGCCTGCTTCAGATCCTGTGTCTCCCTCTCTCTCTGCCCCTCCCCCTTCACGCTCTGTCTTTCTCTCTCTCAAAAATAAATAAACATTAACAATATTTCAAAAAATAAAAATAAAATTAAAAAGTATTAGTTATCTAAAATTCAAACTTAGGGCACCTGGGTGGCTCAGCCGTTGAGCATCTGACTTTCGCTCAGGTCATGATCTCATGATTTGTGAGTTCGAGTCCCTCATCTGGTGAGCTCGAGCCCCACTTTGGGTGAGCCCTGCTTCTCTCTCTCTCTCTCAATAAAATAAAATAAAATAAAATAAAATAAAATAAAATTTTAACTGGGCATCCCGTATTTTTACTTGCTAAATCTGGGAACCTCCCCCTCGAAGACATCTGGCAGTGTCTGAAGGCATTTTGGGGGGGGTGCCACTGGCGTCTGGTGGGTAGAGACCAGCAATGCTACCGATCATGTTCCAGTGCACAGGGCAGACCCCACACGAAGAATGCTGTGACCCAAGTGTCGACAGTGCTGTGGCTGAGAGACCCTGGCCTGAAGAAAGTGTCCCCAGCCCTATGAGCAGTTGAGCAAAGAGCTGCAGATCACGTTGAGCTGTCCTTCAGGCCACCGGGGTTCCAGATGGACAGGTGGGATCCCAGAGAAGGGCAGGCACACTCCACTCCGCCATCCCCAGGCCTTGCTGCTAAGCCCAGAGATTAGCTACGTAGGCCGAGGGGACTGCCGGGCCTGCGGCCTCTGCGGGGACCTCTGAGCCTCTTCCATCCCACCACCAGCACAGAGGCCGGTGCCCTATGGTGCTTCTTACCCCCCGTGTCCACCTGCTGGAGAGACGTGCGTCACGGATCGTGCTCTTCTAAGTCGTCATGCAGCAGTGTCCCTCACCGGAGGGGCTCGCGCCAGAAAACCTGTTTCTCCCTCGTGTCTTGGATTCTGTATTGAAATGGCTCCACCCGAGATTTGGAATAGAGAAGAGATTTTTCATGCTGGTGTTCGATTCCCAGTAAAATATCAGTGTCGAGGGAATGGTCTAGTCGGCTCAGGTCTGGAACTGTCTGTCTCCCCCCCACAGCCTTTCTGCCCCCCAGGGTGGCCTGATCAAAGCCCGGATGTATCCATTAATGGTGACAGGCCTCAGCCCTCCGCTATGCCGTCTTTCCCCCAAATGCTTCTTCCAAGCGACGCGTGAGTTACCTCTGAGTTAGGGCCAAGTGACGGGGCGTTTCTGGGTTTCCCATTATGTCTCATCAGCTTTCTCCAATTCCCACTTCTTTATTTTCAAGGATACGCTTTGCCTGTTGCCCTGCTGAATTTTGGTGTTACGTACAACTTGGTTCTTTTCTCCTTTCTGTATCTTTCTTCAAGGAGTTAAGCTATGAGGGATCCACGTGACCACATTTCCAAAGATAAGCTCCTCTCCTCATGATTGTTTTATTTCCCTCCTGTATCGTTTTTATTTTATTTATTTTTTAGTTTTTAAAAAAATTTTTTAATGTTTTATTTCTTTTTGAGAGAGAGAGAGAGCAAGAGAGAATGAGTGGGGGAGGGACAGAGAGGGAGACAGAATCCAAAGCAGGCTCCGGGCCCTCAGCTGTCAGCACAGAGTCCAACGCGGGGCTCGAACTCACGAACCATGAGATCATGACCAGAGTTGAAGTCGGATGCTTTACCGACTGAGCCACCCAGGTGCCCCTAAAGATTTTATTTTTAAGTAATCTCTACACCCAATGTAGGGATCGAATGCACACCCCAAGATCAAGAGTCGCAGGCTCTAATGACAGAAACAGCCAGGCGCCCCTTGCCTGATTTTTAATGTACTCGTTTGTCTCATAGCTTCTTCCACTCGCTCTCACGTCTGTGAGCTTCATCCATTGTGTTTGTAGCTGTACTCTGTCCAGTCTCATTGCCATATAGTGTTCCTTCTATTGGGACACATTTGGATTCTTTCTAGGTTGGGGCGATTAAGAATAGCGTTATTGTCAGGGCACCTGCGTGGCTCAGTTGGTTAAGCGCCCCACTTTGGCGCAGGTCATGTTCTCACCGTTGATGAGTTCAAGCCCTGTATATATCAGCCTCTGTGCTGTCATCATTTTAGCACGTGTTTTCTTGGTGGGCACATATCCATGTTGCTGTTGGGGATCTCCCCAGGGGAGGCACCGCTAGGTCCTTGGGTAAATCTGTATCTAGCTTCAGTAGATTCTGCCCAACAGTTGTCCAAAGTGGTTGTGCGCGTCTGCCTCCCCTCCGATGGCGCGTGATCGTCCTGTTCGCTCCGCACGCTCCTTCGTCCTTCAGGATGGAGTTTTCATGATGACTGGAGAAGAGGCGACTCATTGCCCCTTGTACCCACCCCCACCGGTGGGGGCCAGGGAGGCCAACCCAATCCTACATCTTGATGCTTCCCAATCCGGTTAACCTTTCTCCCTTTTCCCCCTGCCCCGCGCAGACGTGAATGAGTGTGGACTAAAACCCCGGCCGTGCCAACACAGATGTGTGAACACACACGGGAGCTACAAGTGCTTTTGCCTGAGCAGCCACGTGCTCATGCCGGATGCCACGTGTGCGAGTAAGTTTCAACAGCCAGGCTGCTCTCCGTCATCCTTTGAGACTAGATTCTTGCCATCTGAGCAGTTGGGGGGGGGGGGGGGGGGGGGGGGGAAGGTGGTAAAACAAGTAAACGTGAAATTCACCATTTTAACCGTCACCACATCCTCATCACCCCAAAAGGAAACCCTGTGCCTATCAGCAATCACTGCCCACTCCTCCTCCCCCAGCTTCCCCACAGTCCCTAACCTGCTTTCTGTCTCTCTGGATTTGCCTATTCTGGACAACTGGCTTTTTAAAGAAAACAGCTAACTGGGAAGAAAAAGAACTTACATATCTCTATATGCAGGGTTGTATGGGGTTTTGTCCTGAAAATGAGCATATTGCCTTGGGAAGGTGATGCATTGAAATTCCATCTTGAGACATCTTCTTTCCACCCACTTCCCATCTTCTTCCCACCAACTGCCTTTCTCACGCCCCTTGCCCCATGCTCAAAGATTAGTGACTCTTGTTGGGAATACATCCCGATTCACATTCCTGAAAAGAAAAGCCCTTCTTTGATAAAGAGAAACCCATGTCCCGTGGGAGGGTGAGAGTACATCTATTCATTTATTGAGAGGGAAGGTTTTTCGGTTTAATGTTACAACCGACAGGCAAACACATCCTCCCTGCCTGCGTGCCCTCCTCCCCTCTCCCCCTCCTCCCTTCTTCCCCTCCTCCCCCCTCCCATCTCTCTTTGCTCTGTCCTGCTGTCCCCAGCAAACCTGGAGCTTAGGTGTTCTGCTAGCTCCCTGTGGTTACAGAGTCTTAGGACTCCCTAGCCCATCCGGGACTTTGCCACAGTGTCACAGTCCTGGCTAGCGCATGGCTTGCTGCTCTCCTGACGGGTCCTTGTGCTTTTGGTCCTTGGCAAAGCGCCCAATACCACCAGTCACCTAGATCCTCTGTTGGCAAGCAAGCTTAAGAGATAAAGCAGACATTCAAAGTCTTTTTTTTTTTTTTAAATCCTTAGTATTATAAATTAAACCCACCAAAGACAAGTATGTATGTGTGTGTGTGTGTATGTGTATATACATATCTCCATATACATACATATATCTCCATATATATCTCTCCATATATATGTATCCATCCATCTATATATATATATATATATATCCATATGATATTATATATTATATTATATGTAGCTTCATGAATTCTCATAAGGCGAGAATAACCCTGTAACACCTACCAAATAGAACTTTGTCAGAACCTCCCTCCCTACCCCGTCATGGGAATTACCATCTAGGCTTTTACAGTGATCACTTAACACTTTTAAATAGATATATACTAATGGATGTTTCTGAAACATTCCACGAAAAGCCTAACCAGTGCCAAGAAAGGTATCTTTTCCCAAACGGAAAGATAGAATTAGGTAAATGTTGAAGACTAATCTTAAGAGGCGATGCAAGAGGAAAAGAGTATAAACTAGAAATGTTACCATTGGTGGGTGTTTGTTACATTACCTTGACCTGTGTATGTATCCTTTACCCTCTTTGTCTATTTCTGTATATGGAAGCTGTTGCCTGTGCCTCCCTGTTTATAGCTCAGAGTGTCCAGGGAGCCCTGGACCTCTTTCCTAATTTTATTTCACCTGGTTCCTGGCAGTCTCTCTTGTCCCGCTGAGTGATGGGCATGTTACGGATGCCCATGGTGCATAAAGGGAGTATATTCACCATACTTGCCTATAGTAGACACGCGTGATCCGTACATAGTAGGCCTGTGCTAGGGAAATGCATTTATGGGAGACAAGTTACGTGTAGCAACAAGTAACCGGAAAATCCACCTAAATTATCTCAGGTACTGAAAAAACGGGACGCACACAGTTCTAGAACAGCTTGGCAAGGACTCCATCTCTGCCATCCTCAGGGTATGGATTTTATGCTCATGCTTGTGACCTCATAGTCACAGGATGGCTGCCCCAGCTCCAGGTATCACACACGCATTTGAGGCGTGCTAGACAAAGGGGAGTGATGTCAGTGAGTGAATGACTCTTTCGTCCTTGTCCCTTTTTGTCATGCAGCAGCATGTTTGGGGAAGCCCCACTCCCTCCAGGAGACTTCTCTGTATATCTCTTTGGCCACGGCTGGGTGCTATGGCCACCCTTTGTTGCTGCAGAGGAAGCCGGGATGAAGACACGTAACTGGCTTTCCAGCCTCTATGACAGTAGTGGCGAGAGGAAAAGGCGTCCAGGATGGCTTTCGGGCAGCCAGTCGGTCCTATTTGCCGCATGTTTTAATACAGCCATGTGAACGACTGGTTACTTGCTAACTTAAACAGTGTACAAGGGATAGATTTTTGTTTGCCCTAATTACTCAGACTGACCATCTCCATCAGAAGTTGCATTTCAGCGTAGCGACGCCAGCCGGGTGACGTAAAGAGTGATTTGAATGTGCAAGAGGAGGGGCGCCTGGGGGGTTCAGTCGGTTGAGCGTCCGACTTCAGCTCAGGTCATGATCTCGCAGTTCGTGGGTTCGAGCCCCGCGTCGGGCTCTGTGCTGACAGCTCAGAGCCTGGAGCCTGCTTCAAATTCTGTGTCTCCCTCTCTCTCTGCCCCTCTCCCACTCATGCTCTGTCTCTCTCTGTATCAAAAATAAATAAAAACATGGCTCTCTCTCTCTCTCTCTCTGTCAAAAATAAATAAACATTTTTTTAAAAATGACTTTAGAATGTGCGAGAGGAGAGGAAGATGCAGTCTCTGGTAACTGCCGGGGACGTGCCGACCTAAAGATGATCAAATTCAATACACTGGCCCGCAGAACAGACCGTGGGGGCCACCAAGAGGCCTCCCTTGCCCAGATTCCGTTCGGGTCTCAGACAGTGTGCTTATCCTATAATACATTGCAGGTGTCCCGCCGAATGCCCTAGAATGCAGAGATGGTTCCTCAGTAAGTGCTTTTTATCACCTCGGCTAACCCTTGCCTACGTTTTCAGACTCCAGGACGTGTGCCATGACAAGCTGCCAGTACAGCTGCGAAGACACAGAGGAAGGGCCTCGCTGTCTGTGTCCGTCCTCGGGGCTCCGCCTGGCGCCGAATGGAAGAGTTTGTACAGGTAGCCCAGCAGGAGGGCCGGCCTCCACTCCTCCTCCTTTCCCCTTTCCTGACCTCCTTCTCTCTCACTCATCACAGTCTGCTTGTTGACTAGACCGAAAGTTCCCGAAAGTACAGATTTATGCCCATGTCTGAGACCGTCAGCCACATATACTGTAGACACCCGTTAGGACGCTGGAAAGCACACTTCTCTATTATTTGGGGGTTGTCTAATGTCATAGTGGAAAAAAGGATACAGGTCATCTTATTTTAGTACATTTACCCTGTATGTTTCACTTCAATCACCATCCCACAGAAACCTGCTACTTCCATTCAGTGGATAAAATCCCAAGGGCCACTGGACTCTCTTTTGGGTTCTAACTAATATTTTCCTACAAAAAAGTGTTTACTGGGGCGCCCGGGTGGCTCAGTCGGTTGAGCGTCCGACTTCGGCTCAGGTCATGATCTCACGGTCCGTGAGTTTGAGCCCCGCGTCGGGCTCTGTGCTGACAGCACGGAGCCTGAAGCCTGCTTCGGATTCTGTGTCTCCCTCTCTCTCTGCCCCTCCCCTACTCACGCTCTGTCTCTATCAAAAATAAATAATAAAATGTAAAAAAAAATTGTTTTTAATGTATTTACTTTTTTTTTTTAGATCTAAAACTGTTGAGAGTAGTCTATCCCTTGTACACTGTTTAAGTTAGCAAGTAACCAATTTCTCGTGGTCTTTAAAGGTTGCTCTAAATTATGTGAACTAAGTATTCCAAAATCATTTCCGCTTGGAGGGTGAACAAATTAAATCCATAATATTAGAGGGCGAGAGACAGCCATCATTTATAACTTTGAATTTAGTCAAGTCACTGGATTAGAACTTTGGGCTCTTACTCTCTCTGGTCTTATTTTGTGTCTTAGTCTTGGGTCCCCAAAAGCTGACCCCAAGCAAGTAGCTGATCTGGGAGGTGATCTCAGGGAATGCTGGTTGAGGAGGGGAGAAGGGAAGGGAAGACCCTAGCACAGGGTGAGTTCAATGAGCCGGTTAAACATCTATGCCCTTCCAGGAGGCTGGGAGAGCTGCCTCCACATTTTCCTTCCTTCCAGAGCAACTGGGGGGGGGGGGCAGATTTATGCATCAAGTTTATTGATGGGGGAGTGGCTCCAGAACACTGACTCCAAATGCCCAGCCCAGCCCAGCCCGGATAAGGATCATTGCAGAACTTCCCAGGTACGGCCTTAGGCAGGTAGCTGAGTGCTGAGGGGCGATGGGTGGGGCACCCACAGGGCACCCTCAGTGACTGATGCAACACTTTCTGCCTTAGCTCCCTTGTGGATTTGTATTCTGTTCAACAACCAAACTGTATATCCTCCTGGATCTGTACTTACATTGCACTAAAGATACACGGTATTTAGAGCAAGTGAGCACATAGCATTAATAAGGGATCTCAAACCAAATCAGAATATTGAAAGTGTTCTTAATGTTTTTTTATTTAAATTATTTTTTACATTTACTTATTTTTGAGAGACACAGAGAGACCGTGAGCAGGGAAGGGGCAGAGAGAGAGGGAGACACAGAATCCGAAGCAGGCCCCAGGCTCCAAGCTGTCAGCACGGAGCCTGACGGGGGGCTCGAACCCACAAACCGTGAGATCATGACCTGAGCCGAAGTCGGACGCTTAACTGACTGAGCCACCCAGGCGCCCCTTTGTTTTATTTAAATAAGTATATTCTTACTTGTTGACTGCAGTAGAAATACTTTTCAGTCAAGGTGTTGGACGTTTATTCTAAATGTACCTAACTTGATAAGCTGCATTTAGAAAGTTCCGCCAAACAGGTTACCTAAAGCAGTTACATCTTTTTTTAAAAATCCCCGTAAAATTACAATTTTGGCTCTGTTCTTTGAGAGTAATCCGATTTAGTTACATTCACCGGGTTTAACGTTCTTTGGTGAACTAAGATGTATATGACAAGGCTAATTCTTGACCAAACTGAAGGCAATTTTCACCACCTCTGATTTGTCGGGTGCCTTTTTTATTGAAGGGAAAGCTAATCTGCACAAAAGTGGTCACTGAGAAATGAGTTTTGATCAGTCCGACACTTCTTTAGTATTTTAAGAATGCACCACAGGTCCAAATGAACAACATACACCATCTGCTCGATCTGATAGTGAACGCAAAGCCGGAGTCTGGCTATTTTGCTCAGCGTTGCCGCCGGCCCCTCGGTGACCTGACTCACAAGGAAAGGAGGGAACCCTGTTGTCTGCTGAAGTTGCATCATCACACAGTTTCTGTTTAGGTGCAGTTTCAGGAAACCACATCTTGGGCACTTGGGTGGCTCCGTCGGTTAAGCGTCCCACTTCGGCTCAGGTCATGACCTCGCTACACGGTCTATATACCTGGAAAGGTAGTAATTCGACCACCAAGCCTGTAGTGTATATGTCCCCAGAGCCAGGCATCTCCCAGCCCCAGAAGAGCCTGGGCCTACCAGGACAGATGTGAATATAAGTAGTGCCGTGAGATAACATCTCTAAGACGGGATGTACAACGTGATGGAAACACGTAAGAGGAAGAGCCGTGAGTGTGCTGAGAACAGCTCCCGAGGGTATGATGCTGGCAGAATAATCAGAGAGACTGCTGTGCGTGCGGGCTCACGTGCGTGCGTGCGGGTGTGATTTGGAGGGAAAGTGCCGTTCTGGCTATCGCCGACGCCTTCTGGCTCTGCGTCCTAGATATCGACGAATGTGCCTCTGGGAAAGCTGTCTGCCCTTACAATCGAAGATGCGTGAACACATTTGGAAGCTACTACTGCAAATGTCACGTTGGTTTTGAACTGAAATATGTCCGTGGCCGCTATGACTGTGTAGGTAAGAGTGGGTCGCACCGTTTCCCTTTTTGTTCTCCCCCCCCCCCCAAACCTATAGCCGTCGTCTACGGATATTTTGAGGTCGATTCCGTCTATTAGTTGAACAGTCTATTGTACTGACCAGTTTAACAATACAGAAGAAGTCACATTGTTTTGTTTCTGGCTTTTAGGAAAAGTCTGATGAGATGAATTAGAAGAAGCCAGGTCAGTCAAGGTCAAAAGTAAGGGACCTCAGCGGGTATCGTTTGTTCTGGGGGCAAATATCTTAAGATGGTTTTTGTGCGTTTTTTAAAAATTTGGCTGGTTTTCTTTCTAATTTTTGACTTTCCAGCTACATACCTAAAAATGGAAACAATATAGCACAAAAGGAAGCCTAAAAAGGCCTGTTTGAGCTTGATCTCCGTGATCTGTTCATGACAGTTCCCTCCAGGGGTGGCATTTGACAAAGGTATAAAGAAGATGAAGGCCCCTTTCATGGTTCAGGCTCCAAATGGCCTAAGATGTTCCCTTTCCAGGTCACCGAAGCCACTCTCTGATAAGATTCTGGTCTCAGTTGGCTATTGGCCTGATCTGTGTGAAAGAAGATATTTGGGCCCTTAGTGAAGGGATTCCGAGTCGGACGAGCGAGTAAAGTACGGTGTTTGGGGACCTTGGGTGCACCCGCACTGCCCTTGATGTAATGGGGGACGGGGCCTGCCCTTCGGTGAAGGGAGATCCGGGCTCCCTGTAGATGCCTATTCGTGTAACACGTGGAGCCAACGTGTGCGCGACAGGAAAGCTCACAGTTGGGGGAAAGTGGGATTTCTTTCAACCCCACATGCAGAGCGTCCCAGGTTGTGTCCTGTGTGACCGCACCGTGGCCACCGTTGGTTCCAGCATTTTGAACCGTCTTAGGAAGACTCCCCAGCTCTTTACTCAGATCTTTTCAAACACAAAGGCCATTCTTCACCGGCTCGTCACAGCCATGTTGCTCGTGGGCTTGGACCCCATGTCCCGCCGCAGACCCATCCAGCTGTGTAACCCAGTGGTGCTGTGTCCCTGAGAAGTAGCCCGTTCCTGGATCCCTAGCCGGTTCCACTGGACAGGGTGGGAATTCCCATGGAGAGCTTCCAGAAGAAACCTATCTTGTGATTTTAAGGGATTAAGATTGGCATCTGGGCTACTTTGGTGGCTGACTTAAAAACAATGGGCTATTTTGTGTGCATAGGTCTCCCAAAGGGTGGATAGCAAGTCAGATGCAGAAGAGGGCTAATGAACTTCTCACTTGGGTGGGATTCGGCCAACTTTCCTGGTCTCGGTCCAGCAGACGAGCTCAGACCGGCCCAGCCCTGCTCCCGGCAGCCTTGGAACAAAATGCCTAGGAGTTTAGATGATGTCAGTGGTTCATAACCCCCCTTCTCCTTTGTTGGTTAGGAGTTCCGAGCCCTTCCACATGTAGAATGTATTTTTTGATGCCGTTATTTAGTTTGGAGTTAGATGAAAACGTGCAGAAAAAGACGTAAACATCTTCCAGCTTTCAGTAGTTGTGATAAGCAGTCGAGGTTGCTGGGGTTGCGGGGGGCCCCCCAGTTCCCTGCGTACCGGCGTCGGGCAAAAGCCAGGCATTGGGAGATTTGACAGCGTCCCGGTTCTCAGGCCCCACGTGGTTTGTTGGCAGGTGTTGAGGGGTCGGCCCTGGAGTTGCTCAAGTGTAAGGGATAGTCGGGCTTTTAGCAAAGCCCGGCAGCCGCAGAGTTGTTCATGGGAACGTTCACATTGTTTTTAGATAATGGCCTTCAGCGTTCCGGTAAGTAGGATTTGCTCATGGCGTCTTAGCTATTCTCAGTAAAGCATTCTCTCCTTCTCTTCTTTCTCCCTTCATCTCTCTCTCTCTCTCTCTCTGCACGTATGATAACGTGTGCATGCAATATTTGGCAACTCTAACTCAGCCTTGACTTCTCTGCTAACTGGACCACATCTTCACTACTCACTGAAGTCGTAGCCACTAAAGCTTACAGAGCAGCAAAGGTCCTGGATTTCTGTCTGGTCACAACGCACTCTCAACGACCGAAAAGAAGATTTAAGGACAAATGGCCCTGGGCCCATGTTACCTGCCGAGAGAGGGCAGGTTATGGCACGGTCGCAAGCAATCCTAACACGTCAGGGGCTCAGAACCACAAGCTTGTTGACCACAGGAATCAGAACTTCTTCCAGAATACACCACCAAAAGCAAGTCGGACAAAGCTGACGGCACGTTATCGGTCATCCTCAAACCTAGATTCACACGTTTAGCAAAGAGTCCCATTGTTCTTGCTGGTGAATTCCTTACTGCGTAGGTGGGTAACATCTCAAATTGACAAACCACGCGTAGAACCATGAAATGTGACACTCATTGCCCTTGGCGGTGTATTCTCTGCGACGTTTCTTCTCCATGTGGTCCCTCAGGGAGCCACGCCGATAGAGTCCCCAGCGTCCTGTGATACCACAATACGGATTGGAGCCCTTAGGGTTTGTCAAGGCAGGGAAGGAAGCATGGACAATCGCACACCAGCTCTTCGTTCATTCAACTTGGGAGTAGGGGCAAAATATACATAGTCTTGCTGTGTGTCTGGCAAACTAGAAATGTCCATAAGAACCCGGAAAGTCTACCAAGACAGGCCGGTGGTGATTACATTGCAGTCACCGTCCTGGCGAAAGTGTCTCATAATGTTTGAGGTCCCTTAGGTTTATCCCTCGGGTCTTGTCCCTTTTATTTCTCTAATTTAAAAAAAATTTCTTTTTCATGTTTATTTCTTTTTGAGAGAGAGACAGAGTGCCAGTGGGGAGGGGCAGAGAGGGAGGGAGACACAGAATCCGAAGCAGGCTCCAGGCTCCGAGCTGTCGGCACAGAACTTGACGCGGGGCTTGAACCTACATGCTGTGAGATCGTGACCCAAGCTGAAGTCGGACACCCGACCGTCAAGCCACCCGGGCACCCCTGGTCTGGTCCATTTTAGCACTGGCCCATCATGTGCCTCAATCTGTTCACTGCCCTGACTCCACTGTCCTGTATACCCCTTAGCATGGTTCTCACGTCTTCCAACACGTACGGCTTCAGGTTCTGCCTTGACCTGTCCCGTGTCCTTATATGGCCAGTGCTCCTGGTGACACAGCGGAGTGGCCACTCCGTGGTGGCCAAAAGCAAAGTGTCCGCACCGTGGTAGACACTGAGCCCCACAGCCATAAAAGTTCACAGTACCCCGGTGGGCCGTGGTTGAGTGCCACTGGACGAGAGTGTGTGCCAAAGAATATGGTCAAGGAGGATGAGTCTAGAAATCAAGTTCTCTGCAGAACCGCCAGAAGAACTGGGCAGCATTTCATCTGGAACAAAGAGTATGGAAAAGTATACGTGGTGCCCGTAGGTATTTAAGGAATGTGAAATAAAAGTGACTTCCTAAAGCGGACTGGGAGCGCTGGGTGGAGGCCATGTTCTGTCTTCCAGATGATGGCCAGGTGTCTGGGAGTGGAGCCGGGAGCCCTGCCCAGCGCGTGTTCCGCCACTCAGGCTTCCAGGCCCGGCTCTCCGAGGGATTCCTGCACGGGGCTGGAGGTGGGATTACACAGCCACTGGGTCTCCAACCACACAGTGCTCGGGTCTCGATCCCGTGCACATGTGCTCGTGATCTCCTTCTGGAACTTTCTCAAAGACAGAGAGAGAGAGAGATCGACGGCCCGTGTAGGACGTGCACGGGTGGATCGGGAGGAGGGATGCCATACCCTGGAGTGGCCCCCAGAGAAGAAGTGGAGTAGATCAGCTTTTTGTGTTGCATCGTGGTCAAGGGCTCCTTCGTGCCACCAAATCTGAACGCTTGTCTTCCAGCCTCACCTGTTGTGGGCCATTTGGTGTAATGGTCAACAGCTGAGGTTCAGGACCTAGGAAAGCCTGCATCTCACTCTGAGCTCTGCCCCATACTGGCTATGACCTTGGATAAATTTTTTTCAACCTCTCCAAACTCCATTTCCTCCTGTCCAGCTTGTGACCAGCTAGGCCCCAGTCCCTTGTTGCTCCCTGATTTCAACACGGCAGGGTGGACAGTTCCATGCAGATCTTCAGCCCCAGGGCAGTGGGCTCTCTGCCTGTGGCCACGCGTCTTCTCTAGAGTGCCACTCAGCCCCTTTGTAAGGACAGCCCTCAACCAGTGGGGGCCAGGAGTCTGGATAATACCCCTAAATTGTCACAGGATGGGACAGTTCTGAGGTGTGCTCTACATTGTTTTCCTCCTTCCCCTCACTTCTGCCTCCAGGGATCACCTCTCAAATAAACCCCCTGCCCCCAAATCCTTGTTTCAGGGCTGGCTCGGTCAGTAGAGCACGTGACCCTTGATCTCAGGGTCATGATTTCAAGCCCCACGTGGGGTATCGCGCCTACTTAAAAAAATATATATTAAAATATCAAGCAGTAGGGCCTCCTGTGGGTTGATTCTGGAAGCATTCATTTACTGTACTTCACTCCATTTTCCATGAGTGACCTAATTGTCAGCCAATGTGAAACTTCCCACCTGTTGTTATTGTAGTGATCCCTGAAAATTCTGTGAAGGAAGTCCTCACAGCCCCTGGTACCATCAAAGACAGAATCAAGAAGTTGCTGGCTCACAAAAACAGCATGAAAAAGAAGATAAAAATGAAAAATGTCATCACAGAACCTTCTGGAGCTCCTGCCCCTGAGGTCAACCTGCAGCCCCTCAACTCTGAAGAGAGTGTTTCCAGAGGTAGGAACTCTGATGGAGGAAAAAACCGAAATGAAGAGAGAAAGAAAGAGGGGCTCGAGGAAAAGAAGAGAAAGGAGAAAACCCTGAAGAACCACGTGGAGCGGGAGCAAAGCCTTCGAGGAGATGTGTTTTGTGAGTAACACTTTGGTTATTTTACACATTTTATGAAAAGCGAATGGTGATTTCTCCTGGCAGGGAAAGAAGGAAAGACGGCTTCATGCCTGCCTTAACACTAAGGTTCGGTACTGATTCTAAAGAAGCAGGGTTCTCTAAGTTCTGGAAATGAACATCCCCTGCAGATCCCAAATGGTATTTGCTGCTGTGGGAAACAAGGAGGTTAAGTCCTTTCCCCTTCCCTGGGGGGCTTCCTGTTTGATGCAGACCTTCTTTCCGCTCCCAGCCAAGTAAGCACGCTTGCCCTGGCTGGTCATGCTGCACACCCCCAGACCAGAGAGACCTTGGGTCCAGCTGGATCTGCCAAGCTCTGCCTTTTTACTTCTTGAAGGCACTTTCGACCTGCGCACTCGATGCAAGGGGAATTTCGCAACTGTGAGGTTACAGGTTAGAAAGCCAGAATGACAATTGTAGAGGGGAACATTCTAGAGAGGAGCTTAAATTTTCTCCCTGAACTGGATAACTGCCCTTTTCACCCATTGCTGTGCAGAGCCCACAGCTAAGTCTCAGCCCCTCCAGGATAGTTTCCATATTAACCCCCTCTCCCCCACATCCCCAGGCGGAAACTTGGTGTTTCATTTTCACCAGGCATTTGTTACTGCCCCTATTTTTTTTTTTTTTTTTTTTTTTTTTTTTTTTTTTTTTTTTTTTTTTTTTTTTTTTTTTTTTTTTTTTTTTTTTTTTTTTTGCCTTGTCTGCCCTTGGCTCCATGGCTGTTGGATTTAACCAAATGGAAAGCAGACCCAGGCCCACTTATCCAAGAACTAGCATAACGATGGCGTTGTCTCCTCAAATAGAGAGCGAAAATCTCAAGAGTGTATTTCCAAACCCGGGTGAGAAGAGGCATGTTACTAGTGTAGATGCTTAGGTCATCTTTGGAAAACGATGTCTTAGACACAGAAACTGGAACTTTTCTTTGAATGCTTTGGGAATGTTCAGGAAAGTCTGCTCTGACATAGTCTGTACTCAGAATAACAGGATAAACCTCTGCTCGGTCGTTCATTCACACCTCCTTAGCATGCGAGGGTTCAGGGCTTTTCTTAACTGACCAAGTGTTCTTAATTAGCCCCGAAGGTGAACGCAGCGGGTGAATTGGGTCTGGTTCTGGTCCAGAGAAAAGCTGTCACATCCAGGCTGGAACACAAAGGTAACTGATACCTTCATTTATGAATCACTGCTTCATTCCTAAGCCCCCGAGGGAAAAATCGTGACATCTGGACACAGTGCCAGTACGAAGAGTAGGTCCTTACGGGGTCAGTACCAATGACGAAAGTATAGGAAGGCTGTCTTCTCTCCACCACGCCCGCCTGACACCGAGAATGACACATGGTATACATGTGAAGATAGATGAAAATGACCCCTTTGTTTCAACTTCAACACCCGGGGACCCACAACCTGAAAATGACCATGCACTGAATTCCGGACGATAGTGCTGCGTCATAGACAACCCCAGACCTTCGGTCGCCTACAGCCACTGTTTATTTTTGCTTATGAGTCCGTCAACCGGCTGAGTGGTTCTGCTGATCCGAGCTGGTCTGGGGGGGCTCACCCACGGGTCCGCAGTCAGCTTTGGTCCCACTCGGTGACTTGGCCGATCTTAGCTGTGCTCCGGGCCTCAGTTGGGACAACAGAGCTGTCTCAGCTCTGCTCCATGTGGTGACTCATCCTCCAGCGGGCCAGCCAGGCTTGTTCTCGTGAAGCAGTGGCAGTGTTCCAAGAGAGAGTGGAAGCACACTGGCCTTGTGAGGGCTAGGCTCAGAGCAGCCACAGCATCACTTTCACCGTATTCTGTTGGCCAAGGCAAGTCCCAAGGCCGGCCGGGACTTGAGAGTTGGGGAAGGCGCTACAACGTCATATTGCAAAGAGCGTGGAGACAGGGAGGGGTAAAAATTGGGACCATTCTTGTGATCAGGCTAACAGAGCCTCATCGTCAGGAATCTCGTAGGCGTGATCCCGGGTTCCTCTGAGTCCCTTTAGCACTTTGACTACCTGTGACAAATTATATGTGGCATCTCTATACAGACACCAGGGGAAAGCCTATTTCTGTATTTATCCCTTTATTTGGCATAAATATTCATGCATCGATCTTCCCTCCCCTTTGCAAACTCTCTTTTACTTACCGCTGTGCATGTCCTAAGCTTGTGCTAATTTGACCGCCTTTTGTGTTTACCCCATGAGTACATTCTCCAGTTCGGTCCCTTTGGTTTATAGGAATCTCCACCATGAAGGTAGAGCCTCTCTGGTTCAGTCCTCCAAACTTAATCTGAGAAGCCTCTACTAAAACCTCTCCAAAGGCTAGTGACCTAGCTCCGACAGGCATCTTGTTTTCTTCCATATTTCCCCTAAATGTTCTGTTTTCAATTTTATTTTTAATGTAATTTATTTATTCTGAGCGAGAGAGGCAGAGAGAAGGGGAGAGAGAATCCCAAGCAGGCTCCATGCTGTCAGTGTGGGGACCGATGCGGGGCTCGATCTCACAGACCATGAGATCATGACCTGAGCCAAAACAAGAGTTGGACGCTTAACCAACTGAGCCACCCAGGAGCCCCTCAATGTTCTTTTTTTTTTTTTTTTTTTTTAAGTTTCTCTGCAGCAAACATCTTATTATCCATTTTCCTGGTTGGGAAGAAAATGTTTCATAGCTCAGGGAATTAGCTACATTCTCCGGGTGCTTAGAACTGCTTCTGCTCAGCTCTCCACTTGCTAAGTGATATTACTAAATTGACCCCCTTTGGATCCCCAGAATGACCAGGTCTCTTATTTTACTTTTTCTTCCATGATCCTTAATGAAACATGTGAAGTTTACTCAATTGTCAAAGGTCCTTGAGTAAGGTCCCTCGGAGCACTCAGTCTCACTTGGAAGACTCGGTGGGCACCCCAGCCCTTCTACTTGCTATTTGCCTTGGGCAAGTCCCTGAGACTTAGAACATCTCATTGCTTTCATGTGTGAGGTTGGAGTAAAAGCACCACTCTTGTCTAAGGTGCTGTCTTAGGCTGGATTCCCCAGAAACAGAATTTGTGTGCAAGTGGTTTACGTGGGAGGCGATCCCAGGAAAGAATACTTGGGGAGTGGGGGCGAGAAGTTGGCAATCAACAGTGTGTTATTAAGAAATTTTCACTGGGGGCAACTGGAGCCCAATCCCATTGGGGAACTCAATCCCATTGGAGCTCAATCCCATTGGAGAACTCAATCCCATTGGAGCTCAATCCCAGTGGGGAACTCAATCCCATTGGAGCTCAATCCCAGTGGGGAACTCAATCCCATTGGAGCTCAATCCCAGTGGGGAACTCAATCCCATTGGAGCTCAATCCCAGTGGGGAACTCAATCCCATTGGAGCTCAATCCCAGTGGGGAACTCAATCCCATTGGAGCTCAATCCCAGTGGGGAACTCAATCCCATTGGAGCTCAATCCCATTGGGGAACTCAATCCCATTGGAGCTCAATCCCATTGGGGAACTCAGTCCCCTTGAAGCTCAATCCCGTTAGGGAACTCTGAAAGCCAGTGTAGAACACACAGCTCAGAGTTGTCCTATTGGAGGACAAGAGAGCTGGGTATTCATACACCATCTCCCATCTGACAATGATTAATGGCCGCTCCCGGGAGGGTGTTAATTCCCTGGTACTCCTGGCTTGCCATAAAAGCAGGGAAGGGCACCACTGTGGCCACTGGACCTCCATCCCAGTTGGACCCTCTGCAAGACCAGAGAGAGCCTGGATTCCAGTCTGACTTCAGGTCCATGTTCAATTCCAGGGACTTATGGTCTTACCCAAAGGCAAGAAAATTGTGGTATCTGTCCACCAACACCTGTCCATCAGTGGTTGAGGGTTTTCCTGGGGAAATAGCTTCCTGGTATTCTGGTCTGCCTGGCTTGATCCGAGCATGCTCCAGCAAGAGAATACCCTCACACAGAGAAATTTAGCATTCTGCAGATTATCCCGAAGGATCTGACAAGGTCTGCACTAGTTCATTTGGGTAGGAGAGATTTTCTGGCCCAAATTTTACAAACTCTTGCCTATATTCTCTGTCTCACTTTGCTCACAGGGCTCTTGCCCATTACTTTTTTTTTTTTTTTTTTTGGTTTTGCTTCTACTTTATTTAAGATCACAACAGAATTTGGCCAGAAGGACCTCACAGGTTTAAATTGAAGCAGTATCTGGTTTGACACTGTCCTTAAGGCCATTTCAGTGGCCGTGATCTGTACTCCATGCAGTTGTTATGATTTTGTTAAATTAATATTTGTCAGGTAGAGCTCCCCGGGTGCCAGATGGCTCAACAAAAGACCACAAGAGAAATTGAGATAGAGAAGTTTATTACTCGCAGGTCCTGTAGGAGCATGGCACGCCTTGAGGGCCACACAGGGAAGTTGAGGCAGGGTGCTTAGAGAGAGAGGCGGGACCTAGAGCACAGGCCTTTATTAGTGGATTGGTCCGTTCAAACCAGAAAGATCTGGGTCTTGGTGAGTTCCAAGGGAGTCTTATCTACAAGGGCTGTTGGGAAGTCATATTAGGAACTTAATTGCTTGTGACTCAGCAGGCTGTTCTCTAGGGCTCGCACCTGCATGAGGGGCAAAAGTCCGTTTTAGGACCCCGTAGGCTGTTTGGCCAAGCCAGATGGTTGCGGACGCAGCAATACCGTGGAGTAGCTTAGCTCGATGCTCAACAGCTGAAAATACGGCATTTCCTTCCAAAGCTCCAAATGTCAGACGTGCTTCTAATACTCTTCGTGATTATACAATGTACCCTTTTTCTTAGCAGATTTAAATATCTCAGTTGACTGCAGCTTTGAGCACGGGGTCTGTGACTGGAAACAGGATATAGAAGATGACTTTGACTGGAATCCTGCTGATCGACATAATGGTATTTGGATTTTACTGTTTCGTGTTCTCTGCTGTGTGCTCTGCCCTCCGTACAGGTAAAGAAGGCTCTCCAGTGACGGAGGGTTATTATTCCTATCTCTCGTTAGGTCAGCGTTTGTCACCTTTGGAAACTTCTAGACCTTCCGAAGTCTGCCCTGATGAATGGCTCCGTTGGTTCAGTATCTGTGTCCCGCCTTATCCCTCTTACCCCCACCCACCCACATACAGGATGTTCTAGCAAAACTTTTCCATAGTCACTCCTGCTGCCGAGAGACAGATGTTAGAACTCGTGAACATTTTTGACTTATAAAGAAAAAAACCTTATTTTTTAAGTGATCTCTGTGCCCAACGTAGTGCTCAAACTCATGACCCCGAGCTCAAGAGCCACATGCTCTACCAAGTGAGCCAGCCAGGGCCCAAGAATTCATGTACATTTTAAGAGTATTGGGGGAAGGGTAGAAAGAAGCTGTTCTTTTCCCCAGTTTGGCAGCTCGTGGTGCTCTGTAGTTTTTGTTTTGCTTTTTGTGGGGAAATAAATCTGGAAAGGAAATATGACCTCTGCCTAAACCTGAAGTTTTAGTAAAGCCACCCCTCAAAGTAGCAACACCATGATGAGCATCAGGTCAGCAACCTGAACTTCTGGACTGAATGTTCCCCTCCGTCACTTGCAGATTCCTTTCTGGCCACTTACACTGGGATTTTTCTCGACTTCAGCTCTGAGCTATGGAATTCTAGCACTTTCCACTTCTTGCTTAAACACTATTGACGGGCCCTAGCTTTCCCCTTGGGTAGAGCATTTTGGCTGATACAACCCACTTGGAGCATAAATCGAGGCCCTGTCTCCTGAGGCTGACAGGTAGAGGCGTAGGTAGAGACAACTCTGGGGACTCGACTTTCTTACCAATCCATTTATTTATTTGGGAATCTACAAGTTCAGCCCTCAGTTACAAGATCCTTCTCCTGGATCCTTCCTCTAGACTAGTTCCTCCCTTAGACCTTGCCTTTCAAGCCTTCACACGCAACCAGGAAACCTGGATATCCCCCAACAAAAATTCCTTGCAAAACTTGAGATTAGGGTAGAGGGGGTACATCTCACGCAGCAAGTTGTGTGAGTGGAACTATCGCCGAAGATTCAAGGCAGGTTTAACCAGTCCCAAGACCATATATCTTGAGAGAGCCTGTCCGGTCAATAGCTAACTTGCATTTCTCCTTTCTTCCATCATGACATCTCCAAGTTTCTATCCGCCAGAGCCACATCATACAGGGAGCCTGTAGGTTATTCCAGAATCTTGACAGCTCACACCATCAGCAGGGTCTTCATGTGGAGTTTTCCAGCAATGGAAAGTCCCCTGTTTACAAACGCGATTCACAAATGGCCTCAGGTTTCCCAGCCTTTGTGTCACTCAAATCATACGTTCTTCCCCCCTGTGCCCTGTTCAGATCTCTAGGTGGGCTCATCTTTCCCTGAGGAAATGTGGGATGAATCAGCATTTCTAGAAGGATAAAATCTCAAGGACAAATCAAAATGGGCTTTAGGTGAGAGAGTAGGGAAATCTGCCCCGGTGGGTCACAGAAGAGAGGGTGTCACTGGTGGAGTGGCAGTGGCTAAAGTGTAGGATGCCTACGTTTCAGATTAGCAGGAGAACACTTTTTAGTACATCTCAGACAGGTTGTTGTTTTTGTTTTTTAACATTTATTTATTTTTGAGACCGAGCATGAACGAGGGAGGGTCAGAGAGAGGGAGACACAGAATCTGAAACAGGCTCCAGGCTCTGAGCTTTCAGCACAGAACCCGACGCGGGGCTCGAACCCACGGACCGTGAGATCATGACCTGAGCCGAAGTCGGCCACTCAACCGACTGAGCCACCCAGGCGCCCCTCAGACAGGTTGTTTATCTGAAATTCAAGCTCTCCTGAGCATCCTGTATCTTTATTTGCTGAATCAGGCAACCTGAGCAGCTGGGGAAAAGACCAGACAGTCCCGGAGTCCAGTGAAAACTAAGGCAAGGTCAACCTGGGTCCTTCAAGTGACGCTGGGAATATACTAGCAGAAGACTCTGGGCCCCCACCCCCTACCCCCAATGCATTCCTCCTGGCTTCTGTACGAATTCTTTCTTTTCGTCAACTTCTTTAGACCCCCATTCCCTGAGAGTTTTTTGCCCAGGTTCGTCACAGCCACAAGCAAAGGACTGAAGATGAGCTATACTTAGGACATGGATCTTAGAAATAGAAGGAGGTGTGTTCCATTCCTCAATCGGAACTCGGACTGATACGTTACAGGCGGTAGTTGAGCTCCATGAAACCATTAGGACAAATTCATGTATGTTGTGGATTAAATACCACCCTACCTAAGGAGCTGGCCGTCATACATCTCATTGACTCTGTGGGAAAATGCAGTCCAAGGTTCAAACAACCAAGGTGGAAAGTTCTGGAACACGAGTTCTCCATCAGCTGCAAATTACCCACGGTGCCAAAAGACTATTTCATTAGATTCTTACCCCGTCTCTGCTTACCACCACACTTTGTGTATGTGGACAGATTCCTCCGTTTGTCTAGCCTTCGCTTTCCCTTTCCGTACCACAAGGGATTTCAGCTCTGTGATCCCTAAAATCCATTTTAGCATGAAATTGTCTTTCCTGTGTTGGAAATGAGAGAGACTTCAGCTTTCCCTACAGGAGACTATTATTCTTTTTTTTTTTTTTTTTCATTTTGTTTTTTATAAAAAATGGTTTTTTGTTTTTTTAATGTTTATTTCTTTTTGAGAGAGCGAGAGAGACAGAGCAGGAGCAGGGGAGGGGCAGAGAGAGAGAGGGAGACACAGAATCTGAAGCAGGCCCCCGGCTCCGAGCTGTCAGCACAGAGCCCGAGGCGGGGCTCGAACCCACGCACCGCGAGATCGTGACTTGAGCCGGAGTCAGACGCTTAACTAACTGAGCCACTCAGGCGCCCCCTGTGTGTTTTTTTAAGATTTTGAATCCGGTTATCATTCATCTTCTGTGCTATTCTATACCCCGTAGCCAGACCCTTTACAATGGCCTCGTTAACTGCGCATTTTTCTTCTCTTGGAGCCGTTGGCTACTATATGGCAGTTCCGGCCCTGGCAGGCCGTAAGAAGGACATCGGCCGCCTGAAACTCCTGCTCCCGGACCTGCAGCCCCAGAGCAACTTCTGTTTGCTCTTTGATTACCGGCTGGCCGGAGACAAAGTCGGGAAACTTCGAGTGTTTGTGAAAAGCAGTAACAACGCCCTGGCATGGGAGGAGACCAGCAGCAAGGACGAAAGGTGGAAGACGGGGAAAATTCAGTTGGAGCAAGGGATCAGCACTACCAAAAGTGTAAGTGGAAAACCAGTGTCACATGGGATACTGACATTCTCTTGCAGTGACTCAACAAACAGAGGGGCGGTGGGGCCCTAAAGATGAGCGAGGCTTTTTCCCTATACTTCGAGAGTTTATATTCTGGAGCAAAATAGGCCAGGCGGCTAAGCAGCGCAGCTCGCGATAACACCCGTCAGGTGCGTGCCCCTCACGTGTCATGGAAATGATCCGTTTGTGTGTCCGGCTCCTCACCAGCGTCCTCCCAAACCAGACTCTAATTTTACATGTGTAACTTAATATGTAAAAGAATGTCTTGCTCATTCATTCTGTGCCCGGCACCGATCACGATGAGTGGAAGCTGCAGGGTCAGTTTTTTAAGTGTTTGTTTCTTATTTTTATTTTACTTATTTTTTTTTTTAATGTTCATTCACTTTTGAGAGAGAGAGAGACAGAGTGTGAGCGAGGGAGGGGCAGAGAGAGGGGGAGACACAGAATCCGAAGCAGGCTCCAGGCCGTGAGCTGTCAGCACAGAGCCCGGCGCGGGGCTTGAACCCACGAACCGGGAGATCGTGACCTGAGACGAAGTCGGACGCTTCACCGACGGAGCCACCCAGGCGCCCCAAGCGTCTGACTCTTGATTTCGTCTCAGGTCATGATCTTATGGTTCACGAGTTCGAGCCCTGCATCAGGCTCCATGCTGACAGTGCCGAGCCTGCTTGGGATTCTCTCTCTCCCCCTGCCCCTCTCTCTCTTTTTGTTTCCCTCGTGCACACGCTCTTTCTCAAAATAAATAAACACAACTTCAAAAGAGCTGACCTATTTACAATTACACCAAAAATAACAAGATACCTAGAAATAAGCTTAGCCAAGGCGGTGAAAGGCCTGTACTCTGAAAACTATAATACATTGAGAAAAGAAAGTGGAAGATGACACAAACAGATGGAAAGATATTCCATTCTCATGGACTGGGGGAACAAATACTGTTACAATGTCCCTCCTGCCCAAAGCAATCCACAGATTTAACGCACCCCTTACCAGGATACCAATACCATTTTTCACAAAACTAGAACATACAATCTTAGAATTTGTATGTACAAATTTGAGGTCTTTGTACAAAAGACCTCAAACAGACCAAGTGATCTTGAAAAAGAGGAACAAAGCTGGAGGTATTATAATCCCAGGGCTCAAGATATCAAAACAGGATGGTACTGGCACAAAAATAGACACGTAGATCAACGGAACAGAATAGAGAGCCCAGAAATAAGCCCACACTTACGTGGTCAATTCATCTATGGCAAAGGAGACAGGAATATACACTGGAGAAAAGATAGTCTCTTAATGGTGTTGGGGGAAACTGGACAGCTGTATGCAAAAGAATTAAACTGGACCAGGGCACCTGGGTGGCTCAGTTGGTTAAGCATCTAACTCTTGGTTTCAGTTCATGGTTTGTGAGATCGAGCCCTGTGTCGGGCTCTGCCCTGACCACGCAGAACCTGCTTAGGGTTCTCTCTCTCCCTCTTTCTCTCTGCCTCTCTCTCTCTTTCTGTCTCTCTCAAAGTAAATAAATAAACCAAAAAAAAAAAAGAATTGGGGCCCCTGGGTGGCTCAGTCGGTCAAGTGTCCGACTTTGGCTCAGGTCATGATCTCGCAGTTTGTGGGTTCAAGCCCCATGTCGGGCTCTGTGCTGACAGCTCGGAGCCTGAAGCCTGCTTCGAATTCTGTGTCTCCCTCTCTCTCTGCCCCTTCCCTGCTCATACTCTGTCTCTCTCTGTCTCTCAAAAATAAATAAATGTTAAAAAAAAAATCTTTATTAAAAAAAAAAAAGAATTCAACTGGATCACTTTCTTACACCATACACAAAAATAAACTCAGAGTGATCTCAAAACCCAAACATGAGACCTGAAACCAAAAAGCCCTAGAAGAGAGCACAAGCAGTAATTTCTCTGACATCGGCCATGGCAACATTTTTCTAGGTATGTCTCCTAAGGCAAAGGAAACAAAAGCAAATATATACTATTGGGACTACATCAAGATAAAAAGTTTGTGCACAGCAAAGGAAATAATAATCAACAAAAAAGTAAAAGACAACCTACTAGATGGGAGAAGATGTTTGCAGACGACATCCAGTAAAGTGTTAGTACCCAAAATATATAACGAACTTCTAAAACTCCACGCCAAAAATATCCCCAAATAATCCAATTAAAAAATGGGTAAAAGGCGTGAAAAGACATTTCTCCAAAGAAAACCTACAGATGGCCAACGGACACATGAAAAGATGCTCAGCATCACCCATCAGGGAAATGCAAGTCAAAACCACAATGAGATACCGCCCCACACCCGTCACAGTGGCTAAAATCGAAAAGTATTTGTGAGGATGCAGAGAGAAAGGAACCTTTGTGCCGTGTTGGTGGGAAGGCAAACTGGTGGCAGCCAGTGTGGAAAACGGTGTGGAGATTCCTGAAACAATTGAAAACAGAGTTCCCATATATGATCCAGTAATTTCACACCTGGGTATTTACCCGAAGAAAACCGAAAATACTGATTTGGAAAGATATATGCAGCCTCGGTTTATTGCAGGATTACTTACGATAGCCAAGATATGTTTTAAAAAGTTGTGGTAACGGGCAAAAAAGAAAAACTGTCAGTCAGCTGTCATTTATTTTCATAATATTTCTTTGTAAATATTGTTGGACGAATGAATATAAAGTAGTAACTGTCTGTCTTTCATTTTGTTCAGTGAGTCACTCCTGTCAGTTTTTGTCCAATTTAGAGATAATTTTTTTTTAGTATTTCTACAACATAAGGAAGTTTGCTTCTCTTTTGGTTATTAATAGATAATAGATATTTAATTTGATCTACTTTATCATAGGTGAAAATGATTATAGCCTATTAGCAAACATTTTTCAACATTTGAAAACAACAACATTCCCAATAATTTCCAATATTAAAGCCAATGTTTTCGGAAAAATAACCATACTACCACAAACTCCCAAAATCTGAATATATCAAAATAATTCTCTTTCAACTGTTCGGTTTTACATTAGATGTTCACAGGGAATGTTAAATTTCTTCTAGCCTGGTTTTGGAAAAGAAAACCACATGATTTTTTCATTTTTGCTTTTTATTTTCTTGAAATGGGAATTCCAAAATTTCCTCTTCAACCATACCCTTCTCCGCTCTTCAGGGCTGTCCAGATTCTTCTAGGTGGTGCAGTGACCCAGTTTTCTCTGACTATAACCCGCTCAGTGTAGATACTGGCATCTGGAAATACGTTACTATGCATGCAATGTCAAAGCCTGTTCCTATGCAATAGGGCTGATGAGTTCAGTCCTTTTATTGTTAAGTCATCTCTGTGCCCAAGGTGGGGCTCGAACTCACAACCCAAGATCAGAAGTCCCATGCTCGACCGACTACGTCAGCCAGGCTCCCAAGCTCAAGCCTCTTTAATAGCTATTAAATAGTTTGAGTATATCTTTGACTTGGAAGTTGAAAGTAACTATTTTATATCTTCTCCGTTATTAGATCATTTTTGAAGCAGAACGTGGCAGGGGAAAAGCCGGAGAAATTGCAGTGGACGGCGTCTTTCTGGTTTCAGGCTTATGTCCAGATCGCCTTTTATCTGTGAATGGTTGAAGGTGACCGTGGTCTTTTGCATCTTTATATTCGGCTTTTTATGTCAGTTCTCTGTTTTCTGATATTACATCGTAGATTCCCCCACTTTAGAAATACAAACTGAAAAGTTGTAATGTACCAACAGAAACATTATTGTCACACGCCTTTCTTGTATAAGACGTGCCAAGAGTTGCTTTAAATGTAGTGCCACTGTGCTTTTAGAAGTATAAAAACAAACAACAACAACAAAGACTACAGGGAATTGTTTCTTTGTTTGACTTTCCTGGCACTCCTTGGAAACTGTGACGTCACAGATAGGTTTTTACCTAAGCGGCTTAGCCTGATCTTTTACAGCCAAGCTTGTACATTTAAATTCTTTGTAATGACGTTCAAATAATTACCTTGTGTCATGGTTTAAGTTTTCCTAAGTAAGAAAATGAGTTTTTGATGCTGTGTTTCATTACGTGTATAATTATTTGCTTTCCTGGAAAATGGGGGTTTCATTCATTTTCGTCGGAAATACTTTGCATTCTTAAAAATTCATAAAATTACTTCCTTTTCTGGGAGCACACGACTGCTTTATTAGGCCTCATAAGTGCAATGCACATTAGCTTCCGTTCTTGAACGTAAGGCCTCAGAGAAATCCCTAAGATGAAATCATGCAAATACCAGGATACAGAAGAAAGACCAGTGCCTTCTTTTCTGTTTCTCTTTTCTTCCAAATTCAAGAACAGCTTTGTGTGGTAATGAATCTTGAGTATATTCCCCTGAGGATGAACGTATATTATGTTTTTAGATTCTGTGTCCAGGACAGCTCCCAAACAGAAGGTTCCCCAGATATTTGTTACCCCCTAAAGCAATGAAGGCATTGAGCTGTAGGATGAAGGAAAGAGAGAAAATGGCCTCCTTACTAATCTTTAATGTTTATAGCCTCACTCTTAAAGTTTATTTTTATTTTTAATTTTAATGTTTATTGTATTTTTGAGAGAGACAGACCATGAGCAGGGAAAGGGCAGAGAGAGAGGGAGACGCAAAATCCGAAGCAGGCTCCAGGCTCTGAGCTGTCAGCACAGAGCACGGCGCAGGGCTCGAACCCACGAACCACGAGATCGTGACCTGAGCCGAAGTCGGCGCTTAGCCAAATGAGCCACCCAGGCGCCCCAAAGTTTTTTTAAACTGAAACTTGTAGTGATCCTTTTTTCCCCCCAATTTAGTAACCTTTTCCCAACAGTGTTCTCTTTAATACAACCAACACATACAACCTTTTAAGATGGTAGGGGAAAGCGTTGTTTTCCTTTAGTGTGAAGGAATTTTGGCATATAGTCTCCAAGGGCTGTGGTTGTATCTGTTAGGATAGCTGCTAGGTATGAAAACCCCCAAAATAAGTGTTTCTAGTGAGACCAGATGAAGAGGTTTCTAGCTAAGTCACATCAGCCTGGAGAACTGTGAGACATAATAAGATGGTTGTTTTAAGATGCTAAGATTTGGGGTTGTTTGTTACACAGCAAGAGCTAACGGATACAGGTGGTTTCTAGTACTGTGGTAGAACTTGAAAAAGAACCCCTGTTTCTTCAATGACCAAGGAAGTTGGAGAGCATAGTTATGGCTTAGAATAAAGGAAGATAGAAGGGAGAACTTGCAGTGAAGGACCAGTGCCCCGGTGATCCAGGTTAAAGGAAGAGATGTTGAACCCGAAACGAAATAGGGAAGCCTGGGAATCATGTTCTCTACAGGTAGAGAATCATTGCCCAAGGCCGAGTTAAGTTGAATTAAATAATAGCGTTTCATGTCTCTCTAGGAGCTGTAGCAGAGACTTAAAGTTGCCTACCCAATATCCATTTTCGAATTTTGCCTTACAAGTATAAACATATAAATATATATGTATATACAGCCTCTCTTTAAGGTGGGAGAGCCTGCTGAAGTCACTGGTGGGGCTTCAAGGAAGAGTCATTAAAGAGGGCTGTCAGTTGGAAGCCCCTCTCGCCATTCCTCTTCCGCCTCCTTCCTTCCTGCAATGTGGTCGTGAGGGCAGGAGCTCTGTGAGCTACCTTGTGATCATGAGGTCCAGGACCGTACCTTGTGGAGGAGCGCGTAGCTGGAAGACGCCTGGGTCCCTGATGACACTGTGGCATCTCTATCCCTGTCCCAAACCAGTCACGGTCCAACATTTTATTAAGTGAGAGAAAACTGAACCCTCTCTTGGCCTATCTGGGATTTCAAACAAAGCACAATCCAGACTCTGGTGACTACTCTTCCCTGACCCCTGGGGGCTACCCCTGCCATTTCCACCACAAGACCATCGTCTTGGGGGACTAACTTTTTGGATCCTGAAATAGCAAAATATTGTTTTGAATTCCGGCCAACAGGCTATGGTGTCCTCTATCTCCCAGGGCTACCTCTCCCCTGGCAGCCTTATCCAATGAGCCCTGCTCATCATCCTACACTGCCCACATGCAGGGTCCAGTGGAAGGTGGCACCCGGTTGATCCCCTCTTGTTCACAATCTCTCATTTCTCTGCTTCCGTGTAAAAACCACCGATCCTTAAGGGTCCAGTTAAATCGCTCTACAGCCCTCTCTGGCCTCCCTTGCCATTGCCGTCAACCAACGTGGCGACATCTATGCAGATGACCCGTCCAGTGTCCCAGGCTCACCGTTCGTGGGCCTCTGTTCCACTTACCGTCATCTCCCCGGTCACTGCACCGTGGCTGCCCCGTTGGACTTGATCATCACCTCTGAACTTGAACTCCAACATCACACTCTCTAGTTTATCTGGCTTTTAATCATCCCCCCACTTATCCTTTGGACTCTTTGAAAGCCCCATTCCCTTGAGATCTTCATTTTCTGCCCCTCTCTTGGCTTCCTCGTATCTGGACTCTCCTCTCTAATAAAACATAACCTAGACCCTAAGGCACACCATCCCTTCGAAGACCCTCTTGCCAACGCTCCCCAAGGCCCATGCTCTTGTCTCCTTCCACCACAGCCACCACACGGAGTCCCAGTGCGCATCAACCCACAGCCTTTCGTCTGTCCCGTCACCGGGCTTGCTAAGCAGTGTTACAAAGAATGACACATTGTGCAGGCTGGTTCTTCGGCGAAACCAGGACCTTCAACCTTTCGCGGATCCTGAGCACTGCCCGAGTGACCACCGAACGGTGCTTGCCTGCTTGCTGGCTCGGGCTGAGTAACATTCACCAGGACGTCCCACATCCTCCAGTCTCAGGGCTTCCTATTAACACATTGAAATAACAGTGGCGCCAGTCCCCATTTCTGCCTCCTCTCTGAGGCTCAATGTCCGTGACTGACTAAAGCACCAAGTTGACTTTGAGAACACGGCGGGGCCTTTGCCGTACGCAGGGAGGGGTACTGAATGACACTGGGGTTTTCTGCTCTAGGGGTTGAGAAAAGCCTCCTTGTGGCCAGAAGGTTTGCCCTCCAAGGGGGTGTTGGTGGAGGGGGGAAGCCCGATGGGGGACATCTGGAGGCCCGGTCATTCTGTTTCTTGATGCTTTTTGGTTGGCCACGCTTTGTGAAAATCATTGAGCAGCACACTTACGACCTGTGCACCGGTATTTCTACGTATGGGTTCTACTTCAATAAAAACGTACCTTAGAAAATAAAAGTGTTACCCCTGTCCCGGTTAAGATGAACCCCATCTATCTGTGCCGGTTGACTTGGGACACCCGAGTGAATTCACCTCTCAACACCAGGCGGGCTGTAACTGAAGTCCCACAGGCTCGTGTATAGTCCAGCCACCGGTGCCTCTTACGTTGGGGATGTCCCCTGGCTTGCCACCCAGGATACCCGCGGACGCTGGTCACCAAGCAGGTTGCTGAAGGTAAACTGTATTGGAGTTTCGAGGCGGATGAGGCCGGAGATGTGCCTGCTGCTCAGAAAGCCAGGAACCCCTCACCTCTCCCACATGTGTTGGTCCCTCTGGACGCCCGTGAAAGCTTCTACATCCCCCTTTCCCAGTCCTGTCACTGTCCTTCTAAAATCTTTTCCCTCGTGGGCCCAAGCTGCAGTCACACGGCTCTCCTGCTGGATAGGAGACACTTCTTGCCAGCGTTCGGTTTTCGGATCCTTCTCCGAGTTCTGGCAGCGCCCTCTCGTGGCAGCTGGGGGTGACCGTGTGTGTGTGTGTGTGTGTGTGTGTGTGTGGCCGCCGCGGGGGGCAAACCGCAAGGAGGGCCGTCTTCAGTATCTCCTGCTGCCTCTCTGCTCCATTTCTCCCCTCCCCGGTGTCTTGCGAACCCGTGCCTCTTTCTGGGGGCCTAGAACCTTCCAGTCCGGTCACCCCTGAGATCTTGAAGAAGCCAATCTTGCAGACCTTTCATTATTTCCCATCTCACCCCTGTGTACTTGTCCTGCCCCAGGCTGCTGGTCTCTGCCTATGCTTCCATACAAGGGACGAGGAATAAGGCAGTTTCAGCACCATCTGCTGTCAGGTAGTAGGTGGCCCTCAAGTCACACGGCTGCATTAAGGGGAGTTACGGCAAGGAGACAGGAGCGTGCAGGCGCGTGGGAAAACCAGCAATCCAACTTTGGAAATGGGCTTCAAGGCCGGAAGCAGAGCTATGGGAAAAAAGCCCTTGCTGATCAGCCTGCCCACATCACTGTCACCGCACTGGTCTCCACATTACTCAGAATTCACATTCCAGGCGCGCCTGGGTGGCTCACATCTGGCCCAATGTGTCTCCGCCTGAAGATTCAGAAGACCTGGAATAAGCATGTTATCCTTTATATTGTCGCGGGGTTTTTTTAATTTCAAGTTTATTTATTTGGGGGGGGGGG